GGCACTCTGAATCTTCATGAGCACGCGTTCCAGGTTTTGAAGGTGTTCGACAAACGTACGGCCTAAGATGATGATGTCATCCAAATAGACCAGACAGGCATCGTCAATTAGCCCGGTAAGTACAAGTTCCATCAGCCTTTCAAACGTTGCTGGAGCATTGCACAACCCAAACGGCATTACTTTAAATTGCCACAGACCCTTTCCCGTCGAGAACGCAGTTTTCTCCTTGTCCTTAGGGTCAATTTCAACTTGCCAGTAGCCACTTTTTAGATCCAGCGTGCTAAACCACTTTACTCCTGTAAGCATGTCCAGCGTGTCATCAATTCTTGGCAAGGGATAGCTGTCCTTCTTCGTAGCGTCGTTCAGACGGCGGTAGTCAACACAAAACCGCATGCTGCCATCCTTCTTCTTCACCAGCACCACTGGTGAACATCATGGACTAGAGGAAGGTTCAATAACATCGTCCTTCACCATTCCTTCAATCATGGTTTCCACTTGATTTTCACATGCTACCGGCAATCTTCTTGGCCGCTGACGGATAGGCAACTCTTCTCCTGTGTTTATTTTGTGTTGAACTAAGCCAGTCTTTCCTGTCAGCATCGTTTGATGAGAATACATCGGCATACTTGAGTAACAACTTCTTTGCCTTGACCATTTCGTTCGGGGAGAGAACGCTGCGACAGTCTTCCAAAAGTGTGGTCACTCTCGTTTGTGCACCCTTGCTGGGGGTCTCACTCGATAGATATTGGCACCGACGTAACCAATCCACTTCCTCACAAGTACCAACCAGCGTGCCTTTTTGTATAATCTGTTCCCGGTCACAAAGGTTCAGCACACGTACTCCTGAGATATCAGTGGTCGTGATCAAGGTTCGAGCTACTTTCCATGGAAGGTCATTGTTTGCCCTTTCCACAAGTACACAAAGGTGAGCTTGCCAAGCGTTTCGAGGAAGACTAACCGGAACAATCGTTTCCGATCTCGGCGGAAGAACAATCTTCTTAATGCTGTACACGTTCCCTGGTAACGCATCTTCCATAAAAAGTTCCTCCTGTACACATTTAAAAACACCTTGCTTAACGTCGATCTCACAACTGTTACTCCTCCTAAAGTCTAGGCCCAGGATGCAGTCGTCCATTATATCAGCGACGATGACATTATGCAGGTAGATCACGTTGCCTAGCTTCAACTCCATCTCCTTCTCTCCACGGACGGGTATACTCTGACCTGTGGCTGTTACCAAATTAATGCGTTCTCGGTTGTATGCGGAGTCCCCAAGGAACTGACTTATAAGTTGGGAACTAACAACCGTACGAGAGGCTCCAGTGTCTATGGTCAGTTTAAACGGCATTCCGTTGACCTCGCCCTTGATGATTAGACTGTTCCCATCATGGGTTTGTGAGATCGAGATCCTTGGGGCTCTTTTAACATCAGCCAGCACCCGCCCCGCAGTTCTGGCTTTTACTCGTTTCCCTGCTGCTGCTGGGCGTTGCTGTTGGCCGCACTACCCTCCTGAGATCGTTCACCTTCCCTTTCTAGGGTTCGCTTAGGGCAGCTGGATCAAAGATGGTCCTTTTCCCAGCCATAGCACATAGCCATAGCACCTAGGGCTGTATCCTTTGTTGCGGTCGCGTAACAAAGGATACAGCCCTAGGTGCTATGGCTGTGTGTCTAAACTGTAGCTGCTGCAACCTCCCTGACGCGATGGGAACGATGATCCTGTCGCACGGCTTCCACCTCCAGTGCATGGGCTAAGGCGTCCTTAAGCGTCTCGTGGTGCCCGAGCCTCACAGCAGCTCTGACTTCAAGGTCGCGGATGCCGTCGATGAATGTCTGCACCAGGTTCCCTTCAATGAGCGCAGGTACAGACCGGTATGCTTTTCGCACCAGCTTCTCCACCTCTAGAGCCCACTGCTGCAGGTTTTCGTTGATGCGCTGCACGCGATCTTTAAGCTGCGCACGAAAGACGTGTTCCAGGTGAGCGTCGCCATATCTCGCCTCCAATGCCTCAAGGAGTTGCTCATAAGTAACTTCCTCACCGAGAGCTTCCAGAACTGTTAAGACCTGATCGCGTAGGCCTAGTGTAAGAGCAGTCATGGCCTGGCTTTTATTCCAGCCGTTCGCCTTCATAACGGCTTCAAACTGGATTTTGTAAGCTGACCAGGAAGAAGTCCCGTCGAACGGTGGCACTTTGAACCCACGTAGCGAAGGTGTTGCAGCTACTACGGGAGCTGTAATTCAATCCCCCAGTTTGAGGTCGTCCAGCGTTTTCTTCACGTCAGCTACCACGTTGTCAACCCGATTGTTCACTTGGTCGATTCGGGTTTCAGCTTTCTCGATTCGTGTTTCAGCTTTCGCGATTTGGGTTTCAGCTTCCGACAGGCGGTTATCATGCTGAGCAACCCTATCCTTCATCTCGTTTATCTCCTTTCCGAAGGTAGCGTGAAGATCCTTCATGAGGAGCATTTGCTCTTCCAACCGACGGCCCTGTTCATCCTGTCCGCTCTGCAGCTGCTCTTTCAACTATAGATCTGTTCCTCCTGTCGGCGAGCCTGTTCCTCTTGTCGACAAGCCTGTTCATCCTGTCCGCCCCGCAGCTGCTCTTCCAACCGACGGACCTGTTCCTCCTGTCGGCGAGCCTGTTCCTCCTGTCGGCAAGCCTGTTCCTCCTGCTGCTCTTTCAACAGACGGGCCTGTTCCTCTCGTCCGCGCTGCAGCTGCTCCTGTAGCATCGCCATCAGAGCACCTAAGTCAGGTGCTGCAGATGTAGGAGCTACTGACGGACCCGCAGCCTCCGTGGCTGGCAGTTGGCTCTCCGACATCACCACCAAATCCCCTCTGGTCCGTCTCCTGCTGGCGTTGACTTCGGGTACGGACACCCTCCGATTCCTCCTTCGGTAAAATCGGCATGATTTGATCCCACTTCTGACACCAATTGTTACGAACTTAGTTCGTGACAATAAAAATTGCCGATTGAATTACCGAAATTAACACTTTAATTCACTTTACACTAATTAACCTTAAAACACTAATAATTAATCACACTGATTCACTTTATTCCGCTCCGAAGCTTCGCTTGTCTCGCCAAATTCATTACTTCCCCGATCGCGTATTGCAGCGCCTTTATATAGGGCTCTTCCACGACAAAATCCAGAATATTCCAGAATATTCAAGTAAATACGCGCGCCAACCGACCAAGCGCAGAAAATTCGAGTTTGCGGCTTCCAGAAAGCTTAATTCTTCTGTTCGATATTAGATGGTGCTGTTGGTTGAAAGACTAGTCATTTATTTTCTGGAAAGCTCTCCTCGCTGTTACCCAACACCAGATGGCACTAGTGCCAGATGTCAACTCATCCGCGCAACAGTATGAAGAACTTTACACCACGCTGACCCAGATCGAAGCAATATTGAACTCCCGGCCACTCACTCCACTATCTTCTGATCCTGCAGATTGTACGCCCCTCACTCCGGGACATCTTTTGATTTGGCGTGCGCTGACTTCTTTACCGCAACCGGACTACCAGCATTACTCCACTCCGTTATTAACCAGATTCCAACGCATTAAGCAACTGCGTCAGCATTTTTGGGAACGATGGAGCAAGGAGTACGTCTCAGAACTTCAACAAAGAGTGAAATGGCGTTCTTGCAAAGATAGCTTAAAGATAAACGATTTGGTGGTAGTCAAGGAAGACAACCTTCCACCGCTGAAATGGAAGCTGGGAAGAGTCGTTGCAATTCACCCAGGAGCCGATGGCATTGTTCGAGTTGCAGACATCAGAACTTCTACTCGGATTATCAAGAGGGCGTTTAACCGGATTTACCCATTACCGGTGTAATTTAATTCTGGTCGAATCAAAGATTTCACGCTACGCATTCTTTCTGAGCAAAGAGTTAAACAACGTACTTGTAGTAATTACGTCCGTACTTAACGTTAATTTTAAACAGGGTCTTTGTCTTTGCAATATATTCATTACCCTCTCAACTGTTGTAAGATCAATACAATCGTTCAAGACCACATTCAAGTTGCATTATTTTAAAATTCCTGTAAACTCCCGAACACTCCCATCCTCCCGGTTTTCCCTACTTAAGTAAACTTGTATTATTATATTGTATAAAAGTATTATTTGGTCCTCATTTTTTCTCCTTAATATGGCTCCATTAGATAAAGACATACTAAGACTTACTTGCGACGTTAGTAATGTAAAAAATCTTGACACATACATAGAAGTCATCAATCAGTTGACCACATGTATCTCTAATGCGGTAAACGAGGGAAAAAGCGTCACAGCTGTTAACAAGCGCCTTATAAATCTGGCAGCTGAAGAAATCCGAAGAGCCTCGAACAACCTTTCCACTTTATTATCGGCGAAAGCTTCACATGTCAAGGATCAGTCTTTGAAAAATGATATTTTACCCAGCGTTAGAGAGGAAATGAAAAAGTTTAAGGAAATGCCAACTCCCACTGCCAATGCGCCTAGCCTTCCATACGCGGAAGTGGCTATTGCCCCAAAAGAAACCAGCAATTGTTATCAAATCTACAAACCCTACAGCAAAATCTACTGACATTCCCGCTACTTGGAAAAAGATCATCTCATTTAAGAAAGAAAAATATGCCCCTGTTAAAATGCATACAATATCAAATGGAAAAATTCCCGTAGAGTTTGAAAACCACAAGCACTGCGAGGAAAACATTACCAAAACTAACCAGTTAGAAGGGTTAGAAGCCGAGGAGTCCAAAAGTAGGAGCCCTCTTATTATTCTTAAAGGAATTACAAAAGAAACAACAAAAGAAGAACTAATTGCAATTATTTCCTACCAAAATTCTATCCCAAACAAATATACTACTTCTTATGAAGAAACAGCCCATATATTTCTTCAAAAATTTTATATCCAAAGGACACCATTGACACCTATAGTTCCCAAACAGTCACCCAACAAACCATAAAATTTCCACCGAATACAAATGATGATCTGGTCTGTCTGGTATGTCTGGTCTGTCCGGTCTATCTGGCCTGTCCGGTCTGTCCGGTCTGTCCGGTCCGTCCGTTCTGTCTGGTCCGTCTGGTCTGTTCGGTCTGTCCAGTCTGTCCGGTCTTTACGGTCTGTCCGGTCTGTCTAATCTGTCCGGTCTGTCTGGTCTGTCCGGTCTGTCCGGTATGTCCGGCCTGTCCTGCATGTCCGGTCTGTCCAGGCTGTCCAGTATGTCTGGTCTGTCCGGTATGTCTGGTATGATCGGTCTGTCCGGCATGTGCGGTATGTCCAGTCCGTCCGGTCCGTCTGACCTGACCTGACCTGACCTGACCTGATCTGATCTGACCTGACCTGACCTGACCTGACCGTACCTGACCAGATTCGACCTGAACGGACCTGACCTGACATGACCTGACCTGATCTGATCTAACCTGATCTGACTGGACCTGACCAGATCTGACCTGTCTGTCCGGTCTGTCCGGTCTGTCCGGCAAGTCCGGTCTGTCCGGTCTGACCTGTCTGTCCAGTCTGTCCGGTCTGTCCGGCCAGTCCGGTCTCTCCGGTCTGTCCAGGCTGTCCGGTCTGTCCGGTCTGTCTGGTATATCTGGCCTGTCCGGCCTGTCCAGTCTGTCCAGGCTGACCGGTATGTCTGGTCTGTCCAGTCTGTCTGGTATGACCGGTCTGTCCGGCATGTGCAGTATGTCCGGTCTGTCCGGTCTGTCTGACCTGACCTGACCTGACCTGACCTGATCTGACCTGACCTGACCTGACCGGACCTGACCAGATCCGACCTGATCGGACCTGACCTGATCTAACCTGACCTGTCTGACTGGTCTGTCCGGTCTGTCCGGCCTGTTTGACCTGACCTGACCTGATCGGAAATGACATGACCTGACCTAACCCGATCTGACCTGACCTTACCTGACCGGACCTGACCAGATCGGACCTGATCGGACCTGACCTGACCTGACCTGACCTGACCTGACCCGACTTGACTAAAAGGCGCCAGGTGACGATGGCTTTACAGTAGACATCTGTAGAGTGGCTATTACCATGGATTTAGGATTGTTCCTGGCACTGGTCAATAAATGTATGGAACTTACATATTTCCCCCAATAAATGGAAGAAGGCGGTAGTGGTAGTGTTACGAAAACCGGGTAAAGGGGACTACACACACCCAAGATCCTACAGGCCTATTAGGCCTGCCTGTACTGGGCAAGATCTTCGAAAAAATGGTAGTCCGAAGAATCAAGTGGCACATCGTACCAAAGCTAAGCCGGAAACAATATGGGTTCATGCCACAGCGTAGCACCGAGGACTCCCTCTATGATATGATGCAGTTCATAACAACCAAGCTGAGCAAAAAGCTCATTTTGCTGATATCACTAGACATAGAGGGAGCCTTCGATAATGCCTGGGTGGCCGGCGATACGATGTGGACTTGCGAAGACTGGATGCCCAGTAAACCTAAGACGCCTGACAGATAGCTATCTCAAGGACAGAACAGTGTGCCTGAGATATGCGGGGGCAGAATGGGTAAAAAAATACCACAAAGGGGTGTGTGCAGGGCTCAATAGGGGGTCCAATTTTTTGGAACATATTGTTGGACCCACTATTGAAGGAATTGAGTGTGAGGAAGTTTACAGATGAGTGTAGTCCTGATTTTCTCTGGGGACACGGCAAAACAGTTTCAGGAGCAGGCAAATGTGACTCTTGTACATGTCCATAAGTGGGGAGCGAGAAATAAGCTTAAGTTTGCGCCAGATAAAACCAAAACGATGATAATAACAAACAAACTTAAGTACGACGCACCACTTCTGAGGATGGGTAGGGAGAGCATCGGCCTCTCAAGAGATTTAAAAATACTCGGCCTCACAGTCGATGACAGGCTTGCCTTCGACAAACATGTAAAAAATGTGTGTTATAAGTTACAGAACCTGTACCATCAGCTGTCGAGAGCCGCAAAGATTCATTGGGGCCTAAACCCAGAGATTATCAGAACTATATACACTGCGGTGGTGAAGCCGATCGTTTTGTATGCGGCCAGTGCTTGGGTGACAGCAGTTAACGAGCAAAAAGTTAAAAAAACAACTCGATATGGTGCAGCGCGGGTTTGTACAAAAAATAATAAAATCGTACAGGACAGTATCATTACACTCAGCCCTACTACTCGCCGGGTTGCTTCCTTTGGATCTAAGGATCCGGGAAGCAGCCTCGCTTTATGTAATAAAGAAAGGTTTATCTCAACGAATAGTGGGTGACAGAGATGTAGAAATGAAAGTAGAATATTCAAAGACCCCACATTCCGCGGAACAGATCGAATTGAAGTTCATATGCCTGGAAGACGTTGCACAGATTGACCAATATGACAACTAGGGCCTTAAAATATTCACAGATGGCAGCAAAATTGAGGGAAAGGTCGGCGCGGCGCTATCCATTTGAAATGGTGACATGGAGATGAGTACCCAAAAATTTTAACTGGAAAATTTTTGCACCGTCTACCAGGCAGAACTGCTGGCTATCCTTGAAGCAACCAAATATGTAATTAAAACACCAGCGCAGAGCTGCAACCTGTACAGCGATTCGAGATCTGCTCTAGAAACTATCGTTCAAGACGTTTCCCTCCATCCCCTAGCAATGCAAGTAAGAAATAACATCTTAAATATTAGTCAACAAAATAAAACACTTAACGTATTTTGGATAAAAGCTCACGCAGGATTGGAGGGGAACGAAAGAGCAGATAAGCTAGCTAAAGAAGCCGCCACAAAGATTAAAAGAAAGCCAGATTACGAAAAGTGTCCGGTTTCATACGTCAAGCGACAAATCCGACTGGAGTCGCTCGACGAATGGAGTCGGCGCTACATGGAAGGGGAAACGGCCTCCAATGTCTTTCCCAATGCCATTGATGCCTATAATAAGAAAATTGGACATGGATCCGATAATTACTCAAGTTATGACAGGCCATGGGGGCTTTTCCGAATATCTGCACAGATTTAAGTGCATGGAGAGTCCCGCATGTGCCTGTGACCCGATAAAGAAAGAGGATGTAATGCATGTCATAACCGAATGCCCCATTTACGGCAAAGAAAGATATGATATAGAAGTAGAGATAGAAATAAAAATAAGCAAAGAAAATGTAAAAGAAATAATTAGAAATAAGATCACTAGAGATAAGTTCCTAAAATACTGTAAAAATATAACAAGAAAAGTAGTAAATAAGAATAAATAGAAATAAGAAAAAGGGTATTGTAACGTATATTTTAATATATAATGACCCACAAAAACAACCAATATTAAGAACTTAAAAGGAAATGTAAAAGTAAATGTAATAAAACCATAATAAATAAGAGAAAAAACAAAGCAAAAAAGGTGAAAGAAACACCACCTGATGAACAAAGTCCCTGATTCTCTCATGTCAGGGGAACTAGAATTTTAAAAAAAAAGACCCGACTTGACCTGACCTGACCTGACCTGACCAACTATAAATTTGTAGATAACTCTCCTGAAAATTGGTATTTTTCGTTCAAATTTTCTCTGAATAGGGTAGTTGATCGCCTCCCATATTTCCTTATAGTTTTCTTAATAAATTTTTGCCGTCATATAATCTATTTTTATATTTACGTTCCCTTATATCGAAAAAATCGACTTACAAATATAATACTTATAATTTTAAGCAATGGGAAAAACTAAGCGAAACCTTTGCCAGAGGAATTGAACTGACCCAACTTAACAAAATTGACTATACTTTATTGATGAAATAACCGCTTTTATTCACAAAATTTGTAAAAAGCATCTTCCCCACTCTTCTATTCGTTCTGAGCGCCCTTCTTAGTGAACCGAAGACTTAGAAAAATTAAGAAGAAAAGTTCTTGATAACCATCACCTGCATCAAAAACTTAGTCGAAATAATCTTCCAATGAACGAAGCAATTACAAACAAGACCCAACTCCGAAAAGAATACGCCGAAGCAATCAGAAAATTAAAATATTTTAATAAATGAATAGAACTAAAATTTCCTCTAATTTCATTTGTTTCTGGGCTTGCTAAAGTATATATACAATGTCAAATGGTATAGTACGCGTCACGTAAAAAGAACGCTGGCGGTCAAGCTGCGCATAGGCGATTTATCGGTCTACTTGGTGGTATGAGGTAGGGCGCGGGGCGGGTGAGCCACGCGCCGCATGTTTACCGATGCGCTATTGGTTCATCAGTTGAGCTTTGCTTCCCGCGTTACGTTCCTTTTAAAAATACCATAACGCACAAAAGTTTTAAATTACGAAATGGTTTTACATAGAGAAGTGAGAAAAATGATTTATGACGACGTATACTGTTTTATGAAGAGGGAAGCTGATAATAATGTAGTTAATAATTTAAAACAATGTATGAAACGGACTGCAGAGGCAACAAAATGTTTCGAGTCGACAGTGAGACGAATAGTAAAGGGTTCAAAAGATTCGGAATTTCTTACTGTTTTCCGAACTCCCGGCAAAAATAAAAGAAAAAAAACAAAACCAATAACAGACACGTCACGCATGATGACTTAATGGAAGGAGTTTCAACATTACTTTAATTTTATTTCGATTAAACATTCTATAATACATAATTCAAACATGTTTTTAATTCATTTTTTTGATATTTTATCTAATATATTTTTCAATGTTATATCTAATAAGAATAACAAATATATAGGTACGAAGCCACGACCCGCGAGCGAAAGCCTAGTTAAAAAATAAATTAATAGGCACATAACTTTCGTGCGAGACTGTACCCATGCGCAAACACACTCCCACCACTTTCTTCCAGCGTTCTTTTTACGTGACGCGTGCTATACGGCTGCTATTATATAAGGCCCTTCATACGCCAAATTAAACTTACTCATAACTTTGTTATCTGCATCTGATCTACTAGATCTAGAAACTTTTAATAATCGCCAACGTGATATATCATAAATCTATAGCGCTTATCAAATTTTGTGTTTCTAATACGACTTACCTCTTTCAAATTCTTTCGCACTTGCTGTCTAATTTGTTCGACATTACGTTTGTTTTTACTATTAAATATTATTTTGTCGAAAGACATTTCATTAGACTCGCCATAAAGAATCTCACATGGCGTGAAGCCTGTACTATTGTCTGTCAGTCTGACCTGACCGGACCTGAGCTGACCCGATCCGACTTGACCAGACCTGACCAACTCTAAATTTGTAGATAACTCTCCTGAAAATTGGTATTTTTCGTTCAAATTTTCTCTGAATAGGGTAGTTGATCGCCTCCCATATTTCCTTATAGTTTTCTTAATGAATTTTTGCCGTCATATAATCAATTTTTATATTTGCGTTCCTTGATATCGAAAAAATCGACTTACAAATATAATACTTATAATTAAAGCCTTTGCCAGAGGAATTGGACTGTCCTAACTTAACAAAATTGACTACACTTTATTGATGAAATAACCGCTTTTATTCACAAAATTTGTAAAAAGCATCTTCCACACTCTTCTATTCGTTCTGAGCGCCCTTCTTGTTGGACCGAAGACTTAGAAATATTAAGAAGAAAAGTTCTTCATAACCATCACCTGCATCAAAAACTTAGTAGAAATAATCTTCCAATGAACGAAGCAATTACAAACAAGACCCAACTCCGAAAAGAATACGCCGAAGCCGAAGCAATCAGAAAAGCCTCAACTGAAAACTTCCGCGAATTCTGCAACAAACAAGGTAAGGAAGATGTGCGGTCCGTTACAAATAGACTGCTGAAGAATTCAATCCGAACCCTAACGCCTTCCGCCTTCGAAATAGCACCAAACAAATATACTACTTCTTCTAAAGAAACAGCCCATATATTTTTTCAAAAATTTTATCCAGAGGACACCATTGACACCTATAGTGCCCAAACAGTCACCCAAGAAACCATAAAATTTCCACCGAATACAAATGATGATCTGATATGTCTGGTATGTCTGGTCTGTCTGGTCTGTCTGGTCTGTCCGATCTGTCCGGTCTGTCCGGCCTGTCCGGTCTGTCCGCTCTGTCCTGTATGTCCGGTCTGTCCGGTCTGTTCGGTCTGTCTGACCTGACCACACCTGACCGGGCCTGACCTGACCTGACCTGATCTGTCCTGACCTGACTTTCTCACTCGACTTTCTCACTCGAGGCCACGCTAATTATTAGTCTATGGGTTTCTCTGTCTACGAAAATTCCCTACCTATATAAAAAGTACTCTGTGATCTAAAAGTATAGTCACAGCTGATATTGACAGGATAACTGGTGTTGCAATACCAAATACAGATTTATATTCAATTTTAAAGTAACAGTTAAAAGAAGAATGGAAAATGCAATGGAATGCTGTTTTAGAGACAGGAAAAGGTCGTTGGTATGCATCAATTAATTCAGAATGACGTATTCCTTTGTTTTCTCGCAACGAGAGATATCATAGCAGAAAATTTTCTACTAAACTTAGACTTAGATTTGGCCACTATCGACTGAACACTCATCTTTCCAGGATGAGAATAGTAGCATCTGCAACATGCAACTTCTGTGATACAGAAGCAGATCAGAATGCAGAACATATAATATTTAACTGCCCAACGTACGTCACAGAAAGATTGCTACTCATTGAGAAACTTTACAAATTTATGAAAACTCAGAAAAAGTCCCGCGTGCCCTGCAAATTGTTCTTAGGAATACTAAGACATATTTAGCACTTTGCAATTTTATTCATAATACCTACTGTAAAAGAAATATGAAATATGATATTCCTGTTTTTGTAAATATTGGACTGATAAATCTATATGGATTGAAACTTACATATAAAGATTATTATATAAAGAAGACTTGGCTTTAGCCTTTATGGTTTTTGAAAATATGAAGAATTAAAGAAAATAAGACTTGGCTCCGGCCTTTATGGATTTTGAAGAGATAGAAAGAAGAAAAACAGGACTTGGTTCCGGCCTTTACATCTAAAAATTCTATATATTCAAACTAAAAAAGACAAGGCTGTATGGCTTAGATCTTTTGCTTGCTCTCTCGAGCGAATAATAAAAACAACAACAACAATCAATTGATTGGAATATTTGATTTTCATCCGTCATTTTCGTCAACTTGTCTTTGTCAACAAAATACATGTATTTAGGGCTTGGACTGAAAATAATAATCTATTCTGTTGTGCTAATGATTCATTCTGTGAGGTGTGACGGCATTACATATTAATTTAAAATCGACAATTAATTGGCTCTAACTAATGTTTTTTAAATTAACTAATTAAAAATATTGCATAGTGATTTTTCTTGTTTCGAATTCCCTTTCACAATGCCGGTGAGTTAAATTATTTTAAGTTTGTAAATGTAGTTGTACCACTTATAAAATATAAAGTTTATCTCTATTATACACTTTCAGGCATATCATTCAACATTAACAGATTACACTCAATCAATTGGAAACCTAGCATTATTACCTATACGTACCACTTATCGTGGCCCAGCACCGATGAATCCTAAGCTAGAACTGGATGTTATTGACGAAGCACTCAACTACTTTAAGGCTAATGTATTTTTTAGATTTTATGAGATTAAGGTAAGAAGAAAGTGGTTCCAATTGCAACATATAAATTTTGTTGCTTTTAACTAAAATTACAGTTTGAAAATTACTGAAAAAAAATATGAGAAAAGGCGTTTTTTAACACATGGTAGAGCTATGCTGCAGTTATATTAGTAGTATAGTTGTAGCATGAATGGGTGGGCTTGACCGGAGAAGGACCACACTCTCACAGAATACCAGCGTAAATAGTAGCTTAATGCTGCAGTGTTTCGAAGGTGAGTGTAGAGAATCGGAGACCCCTTTTTACTGGAAATGCGGAATTCTATTTTAGTCTTCACGGGTGACAACATATCTGCATTTTGATTTGTAATTGAAGATATATGTAGATGTCTATGGGCCACAGCAACCACTTATCATCAGGTGGACTGTGTGCTTGTTTGTCACCCTCTCATTTAAAACAAAACAAGAAATAGAATCCCAATTGGTATCAGTGGGGTTTAGTCTTGTATATCTTATTGGAAAATTTGTTTTAACATAATATAAATCGAAATATGTTTATCTTGATAAATAGGCAAAATTATGCTATTACAATACTTTGTAATGAAGAGAGGTCCTGCTATGATAAAATTTTTACTTTACCACAGCATAATTCTGCCACAATGGCTAAATAGCTGTTAAAAATAATAAATTCTATTTATTATTGTAATTATAGAATAAGGGAGATCAACAAGCATGCAGTCCACCTGATGGTTAGTAAATGCTGTGGCCTATTGGTATCTACGTCTATTCTCCATTAACCCATTGACTCGGCTACCGATCTAATCAGATCATACAATACCTACCTTACGTCGGCTCTGGTACGGGTCGAATTAGATCAGGTCGGATCAGAAGTACTGCCTTATGAAAAAACTATTTTTTCCTTTAAAACAAAACCAAAGACAATATGCAATAGATAATAGTATCAAAGACAAAGATATGCTCTTTTATTTTAAACCATAACATGGCAATGTTTCTTAGAAAAAAAAAAAAAGAAATCACTATGAACTTTCGGCGTTCCACGTGTCGTTTTGATGAAGGTGCTCCGTCTTTTTTTATAGAATTTTATATTTGTGTCTGGACTAAAAACTAAAGTATTATACTTTTTTATATTCCTTGTAATATAGTGAACACGTAGATATATAATTTGTGGTATAAAAAGTGAAAAGTAAATTGCCAAAAGTACTTCAAAATCTGGAAGACCCATTTTGGCGGTTGGGTCATAAATGTGTTATTTTTCAAATTCTCATTTATTTTTAGTGTAAAATGTAAGTAAAAATAGTTTTCTTACATATTTCAAATAACTTGACGTTGTATTTATTTCAAATTCACACATAATTATTTTTGAAATATTGTTCTAAATGTCACACAGATAAAATATTATTATTGTTTTTTTTTTTTAATTTTTTAATATTTTGGTATGAGTAACGAATGGAAACATATAAAACATAAAAATATACATATTTCCAAACATTTTCATATAAATTTCTCCAAAAACAAAAGTGTAGAATTCAAATTAGTAGTAATTTTGTCACTAAAATTGAAGTATATACTACTACTATGCTATACAGGGTAATTTATGTATTTTATTACAATTTCTAGCAACCAAAAATAATTTTATTCGATAGTTTATACATTCAACAAGAAATCCTGTAAGTTTTATCCATAAATATTGTCTCAAAGTGAAAATATAGCAAAATTTGCAATATAGCAAAAAATTTTCTAATTTACAAATTTTCCCGCCATTAAGGTCCCGAGCGAACGGGAGTATAACATGTCGCGCGCTGTCAGAGCCATGGGGTTAAGATTAAACGCAGATGCATTCTCATTCCAGAGGACTAACATGGTTATATGGATGGATAATACTTCATTACCAGTAACTATATGAAACACGGCAGCATTGTTTCCAATCATTGTTACACCCATTAATCTATTTGATTTTGAAATGTTAAAGAGTCAGTTTTATAACAATCTTTGAGGTGTTTCTTAATAGTTCTTAATTGCGACATTGCATCTGTAGTTTATTTTGTTTGTTCCAAGTGTCCAAAAACTACGGTATCCACTTACCATCTGGTGGATAGTTTGTTTCTTTGTCACTCCAATATTTAAAATAAAAACACTTGGCTGGAGATTCGGTAGTAACAGAAACAGATCATATGCATGTTGTTTAATTCATGACCTTCTCCTTTTTAGATGTTAGTTAAAAGTTTATATAGAAGTTGGCTAAAGATATATCGGTTTGAAGTTGTATTTAGAACTTGTATGGTGCTTGCATTTACTACTAAACAAACTATGAACAAATCATTTGATGAAATTAGTGTAAATGTCAGTGCCTATTATGTGCACTATATTGTTATGGATTCTTTAATGGTTGCTAAGTTTATTATCACTTACGTAATTAACTTCAGTTTTATTTTCATACCTATCTCTTTCTATTGTTATTTAGTAAAGATATTAACATCGATTTTTATGAGTAAAGCTATTATGTTACTATTAATTAGTAAATTGTAATGTTATTAATTTCATTGCAGTCAGATGCAGATAGAGTCCTCATATACTTAACTTTGTACATCTCGGAATGCTTGAAAAGATTGCAGAAATGCTCCAATAAGAATCAGGGCCAGCAAGAGATGTATATGCTTGCTATTTCGAAATTCGACATTCCAGGGGAGCCAGGTTTTCCCTTAAATTCAGTTTATGCTAAGCCTTCCAGTTCTCAGGAAGCGGGTTCGTAGTAAATGTTGAGACTTTCTTAATTTTTTAATGTAAACAAAATTCTTACCATCTTATTTAAATTTCAGATTTAATGAGACAGTATTTACAACAATTGAGACATGAAACGGGCAATAGGGTCTGTGAAAAGGTAAATTTAAAATTTGTATTGTACACTTTATTTACAGTCAAACCTGGATAAGCGAGAGTTCAAGGGAGCACAATCTCATTCTCGCTTATAGAGGTACGCAGCAATAACAAGTCACAGCAAGTACAAATGTAGTAAATATGTAATATGATAACATTAGGTGAATAATATGTACAACATATATTATGTACATATATATTTTTAACAGTGTGTATATGTTACATTCATTAGATTTCGACATATAAGTACCTTATAAGGATAAGTATCAAGATGCTTACAAAAATAAAACAAAAATTCGTGCACTATGCAATTTTATTTTATTTAGAACTTCAAACGCATTCACTATTGTAAGTTTATCACTCAATGACAGTACTTTAATTTTCCGTTTTGACATGATGCAGAACAGAACTTTCCTTCGCAATTGATTAACTATAGACTGAGTAAGTCCGACAAACATGACGGTACACAGGCACACGTGTCCATTCGAAAAGAATGCGATAAAATAACAACGTTATTTAGTTCCACGAAATAGAATCGGTACAATATTGACGAGAAAACAATACCAAAACAATGGTAGTCGTAAAATAGCAGATGTTAATTTTGTAATTTGTTTTGTCATTTGTTACTGTATGTGTGTATCCTCCTAAATAAATAAAGTTCGACTGTCGCTTATAGAGGTATAGATAAGTAGCAGTCTCACTTACGGAGGTCCATGAGGGAAAAACGACTCTCTTACAGAGGTTTATGTTTCACGCTAATAGAGGTTTTGAGAGCTTAAAATGTCGGGTCCTGGCTATTACTCTCACTTATAGAGTTTTCTCACTTATCCAGTTCTCACTTACCCAGGTTTGACTGTACTTGTGTAACTTCATCCTTAATTTTATTTGTTATTAGACAATGTATTATATTATGTTTGAGCAACATTCAAAAGAAGATATATCACTGGTATTTAGCAATAGAATATAACTTGGGATGTTCAATTAATGGTGAGAATGAGTATATTTTTCCAAATATTCACCTTTGAGTGTAAGAATAAAAAAAAACCGCGTTAAGCGCGTTAAGCGCTATAAAGAACCTCTTTGTCGTATCTCCTCAGTTTGAAGGCACTCCCCTTGCTGCCTCAGCTAGTATCGGAATCCTCGACGACGACATATCGCATAGTGTGCAGTTTCGTGGTCACTTGGAGGGGAAGGCCAACAGTATTTCATACCGGCGCATCGCTTGCAACTTCACAAAGCGCAAGTTCGGCCCCACATGGAATACTGTTCTCATCTCAGAGCAGGGGCACCCCAGTGCCAGCTTCTTTCGCTTGACCGCATCCAGCACAGATCATTCAAGATATCATCCTCACCATCTGGATGCTAGGCGGTCCACCACACTGCTTTTTACTAGGAGTTTTCTTCCTCGTACAACTTCTCTGTGGAGTTGTTTAATACCGTCGATTTTTCCGGACCGATACGACGTAAGGACCTTCAAGAAAAGAGCTTACTCGTTTCTTAAAGGCCGGCAACGCACCTGCAATTCTAATTCCTTTGGTGTTGCGTTAATTCATTGGCGGCGGTAGTCACTTACCATCATGTGAACCGTATGCTAGTTTGTCTCATCTTCTATAAAAATATTTATAATGAAGTTGGTTGTGTTATTTCATTCATTTTTCATTACCTTTATTTAAAAGCCTATTATTAATTTTTGTTGCAGGTGTTTGCAACAGAAGATGGCAAGCCCAGTAAGTGGTGGCTTTGTTTCGCTAAAAGGAAATTCATGGACAAATCTCTTTCGGGTCCAGGCCAGTAATTTTAACAATTAAAAACGTAAACGGTTAACAATCATAATTTGTTTTTATTCTTTTGTATTTTACTGAACTGTTGACATTGTTAGTTTTTTCAATGTAACCGTTTTGTGATTATTAAATATTATGTTTATTATAAAACTTGGTAAACTATATCATAAATAGTATTTTAACTTTAAATATTTAATTTCATTATCGGATAAAATATATTATCTTGTATTCAAAAAATGTTTTATTCCATAATACACAAACACTCACGCCTGTCACCCAAAGGGGTAGGCAGAGACTATGGACTTCTATTTGGCACGATCCTGACATACCTCTCTCGCCTCCTTTACATCCATATATTTACGCATACACGCTAGTCGGTTAAGGGTACTACTAATGTGGCCCATTTTCAAAATATCGCCAATTTGGTCGATGAATCTTTTAGGGCGTCCCTTCCCGACTCTGCCGTTCACATCTGCAATATAAATTTGCTTTGTCACTCTTTCCTCGTTAATTCTTTCTACATGACCAAACAACCGAAGCATTCCTTTCTTAATCCTGGTCGCAAGATCATCTTGCACACCACACCTTTCTCTTATCACGCAATTTCTCACCCTGTTTCACCAAATTCAGCCCTAGCATACTCCTTAAAGACCGCATTTCTACAGCATTTATTCTATTTTCGTGCTTCCTCTGCCACACCCAACTTTCACTATCATACGTTAAAGTAGGGAAGGGACCAACACAGCATTATGAATTACCATACGTGCCTTTTTTGACACATTCTGATTCTTCATAATAGAGTGTAGAGCCCCATTCACTCTATTTCCTGCATTCATTCGTCGTTCTATATCCTTATCATATCTACTGTCCCTGCTAAATACACATCCCAAATACACGACTCATCCACTTGCTGAATCACCAAGCGGCGACGATGGCTCCGTGGCGCAGTGGCTTAGCAATGAGTGACTACGCGGGGGGCCGGGGGTTCGAATCCTGCACGGAACAAGTCATAGTCATTTATTCCATAGAACAATATTACAATGTATTGGAAAATTAATTACACGAAATCAAAAATTACGTTTACATGCAATTGACTTAAATAAAACTAAAAAAATAAATATCATTTGACAATCATTCTATATACTTATATACATTTAATACTTTTCATGTCATAATAGATTAAAATATATTAAGCAGTACATAAACAAAAAAGAATTAACATTCATTAAGTTTATTTTTGTCATTTAGGTATTCGTCAACTGAGTAGTAGCTTTTCTTAATTGATAATGATTTGAGTTTATTTTGGAATTTTCGGTGGCAATAAATAACTTTATATGAGATAGGTAAAGAATTAAATAGTGCAATGGCTTGATGCCTTGTGCTGTGGCGTACAACATTCAATGTTGGTGTAATTGAAGTTTTTAAATATTTTCGACGTGTCATTTCTCTCTTTTTCCTTTCTTCGTTGGTTTGGCTATATTTGTATGGCTTATATATAATTGTTCCGGGTCTGGATTTTTGTCCTTGTGCAATTTATGTTAGTAAACTGCCTCCACGATACAGGAGAAAATCCTAGTGTGGGGGTTTTTTACTTAAAAAAAATCAAGCTTATGTTTTATTCTCTGTATTTGTTAAGATATGCAGTGCAAAAATCTAAACGATGACAATCCATGAAATAATAATAATAAGCAAAACTTTTTAACTTTGTCGAGCTTCAGTCCCTTCCATACTCTAAACATGTCTCATTCTCTTATAGTAAGGGCAATTATGATATAATAAACTTAGAGATAGGTTCGACTAATTGGGACGAAATTCTTAGTAGTGGTAACGTTGATGATGCGGTCAATACTTTTTACAACATAATATATAATATTCGTGATAAATATGTTCCCCCTTCATTTAAACACAAAAGAAAATATCAACCATGGTTTAACCATGCACTTATAAAATTAATTAATGAAAAAAATAAGTATCGTAAGAAGTTTAAAGTGTACGGTAATTTAAGTGATAAAAATACATTTATCTTATTGAGAGAAAGAGTAAAGAGAATTGAGAAGGATCTGTATGGCAAATACATTGGTAATGTTGAAGATAGCTTAAAAAGTCATTCTAAAATGTTTTGGTCCTATATCAGAAATAAAAAGAATAATATTTCATATCCTTCTTGTATGACGTACTCTGGTATATCTGCTAATTCAGAAGAAGATATTAGTAATCTCTTTGCTCAATATTTTAATTCTAAGTTCATTCAATCTAGTAACTCAACAGTAAACTTAAATAATATAGCTGCCATAATTTCTAATGATATCTCTTCAATCGAAATTAGTTTTTGTGAAGTAAAAAGGCTGCTAAAATCACTTGACTTAAACAAATCAGCTGGTCCTGACGGGCTTCCGGCTATTTTCCTAAGTATATTTTTTTAAAAAACAAACACAAGGCAAAAAGGAGCCCAGAGGTGCCGAAACGATATCTAAACCTTTATCATTTATTTTTAAAAGATCTATTTCTGAAGGTTCAATGCCTGCAATATGGAAATCTCTTTTATAACCATTCATAAAAAAAGGTGCTAAAAATCAAATTGAAAACTATCGTCCTATATCAAAATTAAGTCTAATCGCCAAAGTATTTGAAAGAATTGTATATAACCAGTTGTATTGTGCAATTAAACATATTTTATACCTCAACAGCACGGTTTTCTTCAGAAAAGATCAACTAAGTCTAATCTTTTGCTATTCACGGACTTTATTACTTATAACGTGGATAAAGGAAACCAAATTGATGCCATTTTCACGGACTACAGCAAAGCATTCGATCGCATAGACCATTCTATACTTCTGCAAAAATGATCTGCTGCTGGTATCAGGGGCGATCTCTTTAGATGGTTTACATCTTATATTTCTAACAGATCACAAGCGGTAATTTTAAACAGATTTACATCTTGCTGGACGGAACGAAAAGAACAAAGGGAAAACCACCCCCAAAACCCCCGGGTGTCCCTTCTGGCGTTCCGAAAGATTCGCTACTTGGCCCTCTGCTCTTTGTCATATTTATCAATGATATTGCTGATTGCTTCCAGAACTCCGAGTTTTTGCTTTTCGCGGATGACATGAAAGTTTTTAGAGTAGTCAACAACTCTTATTATTCTAATCTCCTACAAAACGATCTTATTAACTTAGATAATTATTGTATCCGTAACAAATTAGACTTTAATGTTTCGAAGTGTAATAAATACTATGTCTTTCGGGCGGAAGCGTGATATGCTTTATTTTTCTTACACACTTAAAGGTTTGACAATTACTAGATGTGATAAAATAAGGGACTTTGGTGTTACTATTGATACTAAGCTTTTGTTTGATCAGCATGTGGAAGATATCGTTAATAAAGCATATAAGGCTCTGGGTTTTATTTTAAGGTCTTGTTGCAAATTCCGTCACTTAAAATCAATGAAAATATTGTTTTGTTCTCTTGTTGTTAGCCATCTCGAATATTCGTGTCAAGTATGGAATCCTCAATATAAAATATATATAAACAAAATCCTCTCTATTGTTTAATTTGTATGTCAATCAGCTTATTGAGGGACTCAGCAGCACTATGTCGTCAGCGTAGCTTATATTATTGAAGCAGATATCGTCAATATGACAGCCGACATGAGTACTTGAGATTACATTTTATTACATTGAGATTAAACAATAGAGGCGAGCTTAACCCCCCTTGTCTTACACCACATTGCAATCTATATTCATTCGAAAGCGGACCGGCCCATCTCACTTGATTTTTCTGGTTAGAATACCAAAATATGAGGAGGGAGATGCACTCCATCGGTACAGCCGCACACCCCAACTTCTCCCATAAGCGGACATAAATTACGTGATCAAAGGCTTTTGACATGTCGAGGAAGCAAGCGAATACTGGAGTCCTTCTCTTCGTATAATAGTTTACTGTATGTTTCAAGCTCAGAATAGCACTCTCGGTAGATAATCCGGCTCTAAACCCGAACTGGGCATCATTCAGCTTCACATGTTTTTCGAGATTGCTATTCAACAGACTGTGAAGCAACTTAGCTGTTGTTGTAGCAAGTGAGATAGGCCGATAATTATTTTTATCATAAGTGTCACCAGTCTTATTTTTAAGGATCGGTACCACAATAGTGCGCATTAAAACCTCAGGTAAGTAAGAGTGACATAGACATAAATTAAAGAACATCGCGAGTACGCGCGGTAGGTGCACCCCAGCATACTTAAAATGTTCGATGCTGAGACCATCGTGACCGGGCGATTTGCCCCTTATAACTGTCGATACATGCTTTGCTGAGAAGGACACTTTACGTTCCGTTACAATGGTCGCAGCATCATTTACACTACAAGAAACTGGATCCGAGGACGACTGAATACTAATATGCTCGCTGAATAAATTGGCGGTCATCTTATGATCGTGGACGCCGCCGACACTCACAGGAAGCGTAGGTTTTACATTCAATTTATTGGCGTCCTTCCAGAAATTTTTGAAATTTTTAGCCGAATGATTTGAAGCAAGTAAATCCATTCGTAGTTGCTCTTGCCTGTCTTGGCACCATTTTAACTTTGATTTAAAGTTTTTACGCGTATCTAACATTTCATTATAAATATTGCCGATTAATACCTGCCAATAACCACATCTGAAATTTAAGTCTATCCTCCCTGTGCGCGCCAGCAACGTATTTATTCCACCCAGTGACATAACCTTTATTTCTTGTACAATTTCTTTTAACATAGGTCTGCGAAGCTGATTCTGGCAGAATACTAACAATCTCCCTATACAATTTGTCTAACATTAAGTAATGACTTTTATTACTACATGAGTAATCACAGTATTGGTCTAACTCTAGCGGAAATTCGATATTCTTTAGTTTAGAATGACACAATTCATGATATTTGTTTATCTGTTTCAACTGCCTATCTCCCCATACTATACATTTTTTGGACTCGCCAATTAGAACATCAATTTCAACTTTCTGATTTAATTTGTATAGGTCACA